AGAGGACCACAGAAAACACCACCCCTTCTGGCTCAGACATCAGGAATCCCCCCTAAATAATCCCTCTCAAAAGATGTGTACACACCTAGCTGTCCACAGCCTCCTGGTTATTCCAGCTGGGATTTCAAGTGGCTGGAGCTAAAAGTGATGCTAGGTCAGCAAGGACCCATCAGGAAAAGGGGATTACTGCTCTCCATTAGTGAGAGGAGCGTCTGCTTGCACACATCTGCAAACACCTCCGCTTTAGAAAGCACATTTCTTTTATTTCAGTGGTTTACACTTTCATTTTCACCATGCTCTTCATCATCTTTCACAGGGTATTTCCTATTTAAAAAAAAAAAAAGACAAGCAAACAAAAAAACCCAACATACATCAAGAATCAATTTGTCTGGCTGGTAAAAAGAAAAAAAAAAATAAATACACCTGAAAGAGCCACAGAGATGCACAGAAGCCAACCACGCCGTCCAGCTGAGCAAGTCTCGCATTGCCTCTCCTCCCTCCTCCCCAGCCCTGCTGAAAGACAGCAGCTGTAATCCCCTCCGGGTGGTGACAGGCATTATCTTTCCAGCTGGTAGAAACGTGACAGCTCTGGAGCTGGCTGGGAACATGTGTTCCCGCGCTGCAAGAGGGAGAGGGAAGCTGCAAGACCCAACACGCGCCTGAGTCACACCAGCCAAGGGGAAATGTAAACTTTGGAAGCCCTGCGAGAGGTGGAATTGCCAGGGATCCTTTTCAGCTGCGTGCTTCCTTCATGGATGCTCTGGGTGATACTGGGAGAGACTGGTGGAGGAAAGAAACCCCAACTTCAGCAACATCTCTCTCCTGGACTGACACTGTGACATCCAGCCCCTCTGGATGGGGCTTTTGGTGAGCGGGGTCTATGGGTGCAGAGCCCACGCTGCCCCGACGAGGACAGGCGCTGGTGTGAGTCACTGCCCAGACATGGACGGTGACAAACACAGAGATGAGTGGGACAAGCCTCATGAGAGGGAACTCCAGTGATTTCAGTTTTCATGGTTTGCTGGTTGCATTTTTTCAATGCAGTGCAAGTGTTCAAGGCCAGGTTGGGTGAGGCTTTGAGCAACCTGGGCTGGTGGGAGGTGTCCCTGCCCATGGCAGGGGGGTTGGAACTCAATGATTTGTAAGGTCCCTTCCAACCCAAACCATTCTGTCATTCTATGATTCTATGATTTTTGTATTTCTTCTTGCTAGTGCTGCAAGAGGGGTTGGGTAGGGTGGGATGTTGACTGTGCACAAGCGGCTTCAAAATGAGCAAAGTCAACCGCTGGAGGAGAAATCCTGGGAAATGCTCACCCTTTCACTAACCCATTAAGTTCCAGCAGTAGCTTTTAGCAATGGCAAAGAAGGGTGATCTTGAAGCCAACAAACACTTTTAAAGCTTCCATGGGATGACTGGCTTGACCTGTTGCCTGGCAGTCTGCAAGTCATTACTGTAAGCGCTGTAAGATGCTTTTGGGTAGCTGCACTGGGATCGGCTCTTCCCATATGAGACACCTCCATCTGAGCAACTCTCTCTGCAGGCAGCAGAGAGAAATGGGCCTGCTGAGAATGTAACTTATCTCCCCCTGCCATGAATCACACTCTTTTTGGCTTCTCTCTCCCTGCTGGTTATAATGGGAGTTTGGATGTCGTGCTCAGAGGGAGACATCTTCACTAGAAATGTTTAAAGTGAAGTCAATGTGTTCGATCTCCAGTGGATGTCTCATGCCAAGATCAGAGCTGGGACTACATGGCTCAAAGCTTTTCTGAATCCTGCAAGAATTGATGTGTCAGGAAGCAGACATTTCACTTCACTCTCTATAAAACCAAAATGCTTCTGCACATGACTCTGTATGCGCTGGTCACTGCTGATGTGGGGAGATGCACACTGCAGGACCACTGAGCAGCTATGCTGGACCATCTCTTCTCCTCCTGCACTGAATAACAAGCTTTTTTCAGCAGCAAACATAATTCCCCTGGCATCCGGAATACCTCCCTAGCAGGCACCAGTGAACAAAGGCACCGCAGCCTTCACCCCATGTCCCCAGGATGGGTTGTGCAGCCTGGTGGTACCTGTTGAACATCTAAGTTGCAGGGGTGGTTCACAGCTTGAATTCAAACACTTGCTCAAAGTGCCTGAGTGAGGATGCTACGGTCCATGGACTTCATCTCTCCAGGTGGCAGTCCTGTGTCACATTCTGAATAATTGCTGGGAGACCTTGTCTCTTTATGAGAACCCAGGACAAAATACCCGGTGCACATGCCTAGAGTTAGTGGCATGGATCCAGTTCAGCAGCAACTTTCTCCTTGGTGCCTTTCCTTGGATTATAAATCAATGAATGTAACTGTATTTGTGATGTTTCTCACTCTGGACACCTTATAAAGTGTTTTTGAATTGGCTTGTGGAACCCTTGGAAAGGTTTAATACAGAGTCAGAATACTGATGTCATGGGACATCCTTACAGAAGGGGAAAATTGCCCTGCAGCAGCATGGTTTCTTTCTGGCCCAGGCAGTAAATGTCAGAGGGGTCACTGATGCTGTGTGGGTGCTGTCTTCAACCATGATCATAAGTCTAGATGAGGAGGATTCAGTAGGACTGTGAAGTCAGTTGTGAACGGTGGGTGTTTGAAGGCATTTGCAATCAAATCCAGCTCCTGCAAGCAACATTGCCTTATGTGCAAAGCCCAGCACTGAGCTTATACATGACAACTTCTGCGCCTTAAAGGGAGCTTTGATGGTACAGAAGCTACAGGACTGTCCCTGGAGCAGGTGCGGTGTTCATCATGTACTCTAGATGTGGGAATTAACCTGTTGGTGCAATACGGGGATACCAGTGATTTCATAAGCACTGCGGTGTCAAAGGAGAATAAGTTTTAGTTTTCCTGTACTTCAAAGACAGTTTTAACATTTACTTTGCACTTTGCACTTGTTTCTTGTGGTAGAATTTGTTTACACCATTTTAGGGGTGGATTTTTTTTTTTACATCCATGAATAATGCAGTTTAAGGTGCTCTGGAGCATCCCTGACGTTTATAAGGGACTTGTGATATGACTCTGGACCTACAGGAGATCTGCACCCCTTCAGACCAACACTGGGACGCGATACTGGATTCCCCAGTCCCTCTCAACTGTGTTTGAACAAGTACATAAACCCTAAGCTGTCTGAAAACTAGTAATCTTAGGTCTGGAAATGTCTGCAGAGAAAACATGGAACTGAAACTATCAGATGAGACAAGATACCAAACTTTGAGCCAGTCATGGTTCCACTGAGTGTCATCTAAAGAGAGATGTAGTCCCACCTGAGATGTCCTAGGAAACCCAAGACATCCGCATGAGGGTAACAGATGGTGCTGCCCTTCCTTCTAGGAAGACCCAGAGACTTCTTAACTTCTGTGTCATGAGGATGGTGTGGTTGTGTTGGACTCCCTGGAGGGTCTCAGTGGCACTGTAAGCCTTTGTGAGGGCAGCTCAGCTGAGATCTACCTCTCCACTCCACATAGACTTCTGTTTCTCAGACACATCAAATTAAGTATCCACATTTGGATTTTAACCCAATTCTTAATTTGAATGAAATGAATCTGATCTCTGGAAATTAATTCATTGGCTTGGAGTTTAAGAAATTGATTCTTAAAATGATAACTAGATTAATTGCTTATTTTGAATATTGATTTTTTTTCAACATGTCTGTATGCACCTTCACAAACCTGGAACCATACTACACACATACTTCTTCACCATGAAATTTAAGGCATTTTGGTTTCACCCTCTCTTGGTTTTTTTCTGTTTTATTCTCCCTAAAAATTATTGATCAAATGGGCTGTTTCCTAAAGAGGTTTATACATGCATGCAACTGAGGCATGGTCAGACTTCTCCTGGCGTTAGCTGGGCATTTATTCAGAAATTTATATATTGCCTCAGGGCAAAAAGGATATAAACCAGGAGAAACTAGTTGTTAAACGAAGTTTGCAGTTTGTAAAGTCCAGTCTGTCCAATAAATGCTTGAGCCTCTTCCAGTTGTTTGCTGCAGGACAAATGCCCAAACTTTTTCCATGTTAAAGGTAAAACTAGTTTAAATATTACTGGTTGTTCCCAAGGGTGAGGCGCTGAGGAATTGCGAAGCCTATTAGCTTCGGAACAGGGCCTCGTACAAAATTATTTGAGGGGTCCCAGATGATTGTAAAGTGCTTAGATACGATCATTGGCATAGTAAAGGTAACCACAAGGAAGTGGACTTGACTTATCTCTAATTTGGTCAATATTGCATTCAGCCACTTCTCAGATACCTGACAGGTGAATTAACTCATCTTTTTTATCTGTGACTACATACTACAGTGATGAGCACAGTACAAATGGGAGGACTGGAAGAGGAGAGATCTACTGGAATGACCTTTCTGGGGGCTGAGGATTTCCATTAAAGTGAGGAATGATCTCAGCCTCTACTAAAATAAAATAGGGAAAGTGGGGAAAAGGCTTTGATACCTCAAACTCCTTTTCTGGGTGGGGTAGGGTAAGGTGGGGTAGGGTAAGGTAGGGCAGGGTAGGGTAGGGGGGAAAATGAATGTACATCTCTGTGGGCTCTGACCAGACTTTGGCAATGAATCCAGATTTTGTCAAGTTTTCTGTGGATTGGCAATCTTTCCAGGAAAATGGCATGCAACAGACAAAAGGCATCCTGAAATCACTCAGAGATCACAGCAGAGCCACAGATCACAGGAGTGGGAACAAGAAAGTATCACAAACAAAACAGCCTTCCCTTTCTCCAAACCACTTTTCTGTTGAAACCACTGAATCTTAATGAATTTATGAGCCCTCTAGAAATGAGGGCAGGTAATTGCAATGTTACTCACAGGATTCAAGATCAAGTTTACCACATTTAGCTCAGAAGAAAAGCCAGTTATGATGGCTTAACTCACTGGAGATACTGTAATATGTAATGAAATTATACTTTAAAAAAAAAAAAAAAAGGAAGAAAGAAAAAACCCAGGTTTTTATAAACAGTTCTAGAAGTCCAGGTCATCTTGGTCAATCTCATCAGAGTTTTTCTTTTTAGAAGCCTGAAGTTCATCAGTATTTTCAGTCTCCTTTGGATCTGCACCTTCAGCATCTGCCTGGTCCTCATCTCCCAAAGGATCACTGCCTGAAGATGCTTTGTCCTCTTCTTCCTCACTGTCAGGATACATCTGTGGCTGTTTGCTGCTCTCATCACTTTGAACCTCTCCATTGGGTTGGTTGTTCGTGGCATTATTGTCATCTTTGCATTCCTCTTCACCTTCATCTTCAGACCCCTTCTGGGATTGCTGTGAGAAGTTTCCCATGGAAGAATAACAAGAAAAGGCGGCTGCTTTGTTCACAGTCTCTAGCCTTCTGTTGGTTTTTTTGCCTTTGGCCCTTAAGGCTTTCTCAGAAACCTTGTTGTTGCCTTTGTGTTTTTCATGTGCCTTGTCAGGACCATCACTGGTAGGTTCCTCATCATTCTCATCATATTTGTCACCTCCTTCACTGTTCTGTTCCTCCTCAGCTGGACATGTCTCATCTTCTGACTCTGGATTTGCATCTTCCACTGCCTCAGCTTCATGTTGCTCAGCTTCTTCCCTTCCTTCTGCAGCATCTCCTTCCAGATTGTTGTCAGTTCCAGAGCCTTCAGCATCTCCTCTGCATTCAGATCTCTCTTCCTCATCATCAACCCCAATGTCCTCATCCTCTGGCTCCTCTGCTTCTTCAGCTTCATTGTCAGCTTCATCCTCAGCCTCAGATTTCTCTTCATCTTCCTGCTCCTCATTTTGGGTCTCTTCTTCTTGTTCTTCCTCTTCCTCATTTGGCTCCTCCTCCTCTTCCTTTGTTTCTTCCTCATCTTTTGCTCCCTCTTCTCCCTCTGTTGCTTCTTCCTCCTCCTCTTTTGGGTTTTCTTCCTCTTCTTCTGCTTCCTGATCCTCTTGTTTTATTTCTTCTTCTTCTTCTTTTGCTTCCTCATCCTCCTTTGTTATTTCTTCATCTTCTTGCCCTTCTTCCTCCTCCTCTTTTGTTTCTTCCTCCTCCTTCATGTCTTCCTCTTCTTCCTTTGTTCCTTCTTCCTCCTCCTTCATGTCTTCCTCCTCCTCTTTTGTTTCTTCCTCCTCCTCCTTTGCTTCCTTTTCCTCCTCCTCTTCTTCCTCCTCCTCTTGTATTTCCTCTTCTGCCTTTGTTTCTTCTACTGTTTCCTCTTTTACTTCTTCATCTTCTTTCTCTTCTGTTTCTCCCTCTGCATCCTCTTTTGTTTCCTCCTCTTCTTCTGCCTCTGTAATTTCTTCTTCCTCTTTGTCTTCTTCCTCTTTTCCTTCTTCTTCTCTCTCTTTCCTTTCTTCTCCCACTTCTGTTTCTTCCTTTTCTTCTTCTTCTTTGTTTTCTTCATCATTAACCTTATCCTCTGTCTCACAGTTTTGACTGCCTGATATTTCAGCTCCTTCTGTGTCTCCGTTCATCAATGAGCTGCCCACTTCATTTAATTCCGTCTCCATTTCTTCATTGCCCTCCACTTCTGTTCCACTTGGCTGGAGTTCACCCTCATCATTCTCATTTGCATTGCCATTTTCTGCTGCTTCCTCCACAGAACTGCTGGGAATTTTTTTCATGTCCTGGGCAGCTTCTGAGACACTGGCTTCCTCATCATTTTTCTTCAACCTCAGGATCTGCTGTAAATCAAATGCTTTCATGACTGGGGCATTGGTGGCCACCACTGGGTTTCTTGTGGACTTGGAAGCTATCTTTTTCCTCAAACAAGAGTCACATGGGCAGTATTCTTCCTCACTCGCTTGCTTACTAATACTGACCTCAAAAGCTGCACTAAATGCTGTATCTTCATCTACCTCAAGTGATAAGTCTGATGTGTCCTCTAGCCTGCTCTGGGTTCCATTCTTGTCACTGAAGAGTGACTTTTTGTGCATAGTCTGCAATCGCAGTCTCCTCTGCTCGGTTTGGAGCGTTGACTCACGCTTGAGTGGTTCATCTGGAGGTCTTGGTGTCTTCTTCCCCGCTCTGGCTTTGATCTTCCTCAGCTCCTTCTCTATGCTTTTTTGTATCCTTTTGCTCACTTCCTCCTTCAGCTCCAGTATCATTTCATCCATCTGCTGGTTGTTCTGCAGGTTCCACCTCACTTTGAGCTCATCCATGGCACTGACATAATGAGCCATGAACTCCTTCTCGATTTTCCTGAGCAGCTTCAGGACCCAGATTGGGTCTGGATCCATTGAATTTTGCTGGACAAGGGATGTGCCCACACTGGTGGCCATATTGACATGGTGCTTTCGGTCATTTGGAGACACTTTTTCAAGTTGCTCTTCCAAATCAGTTTTCAGTTCTGTCCCACAGTCAACATCATTGACATTTGTGTCATTGGTAGTGGCTAGCTGAGCAGCTTCCTCTGTAAGATTTTCTTTTGTGAGTTCATAATTTACAGCTTCAGCTCCTTCTTGTTCTCCATTTTCAGCTAATTTGCTGTTTTCTTCATTTTCTTTTTCTCCCTCTTCCTCCTGACCATTTTCACAGTTACTGCACTGATCCTCCCTATTCTCTTCTGCCTCCTGAATTACAGATTCCTGTCTAGCAGACTGTGCTTTTTCCTCACCTTTTGATTTTGAGCAGGCTGTCGAAGGTCGAGATGACTGCTCTTCCTCTTTACCTTGCTCCTCAGCCTCAGCCAGCTCATTGCCAGTCTCTACATTTTCCACTTGTTCAGCTGGTTTGAATTCAGCAGCTTTCTGTGCCATTAAAGTGCAGTCCCTGGCACCAGCTGTACTCTCTTCTCCCGAACCACCAGAGCCACTGCAAACATCAACCCCAGAGGAGGACATGGGAGTGAAGTCGTAATCTACAGATTTTGGGACTTTAAACACAGAGGCTGTCTTTGCCTGCTCACATGCCTCTTGACCTGAACTCGGACCACTTTTTTCAGCTGTGCATCCAAACCACAGGGCTTGAAAAATATTTAGCAGCTCCATATACCTTGGCTTACTCAAACGTTTTGATTTATCTGATGGATCTTCTGACTCTTCGTCAAGGAGTTGGAGACTGGCAAGACAAGTAATCAAAACATTGGCAGAGTTACTCAGTTTTCTCCCCATAGTGGGGGACACTTCAGGCAAGCTGTTTGATCGGTCAAATTTTGTTTCATGTTTTGAACCGAGCAAGGCCTTCATGATCTGGACGGAAGTCTGGACAGAGGCTGGTAGGTCTCTTCTGTTGTCGTTTTGGCTGGATGAAACTGACTGCATGCATTCTGCCTGGTCAGCCTTGGCAGCTTCAGACTCTGAGATTTTTTCCTGATCCATGCATTCTTCATCCTCTTGATTAATAGCAGGGCCTTCAGCCGTCTCTTGTCCCACTTCATCCTTTGCCTCATTTTCAGCCTCCTCCACATTCTTTTTCTCAGCTTTTTCATCCTCTGAGATTTCCTCAGCGTTTGTACAGCATGATACCTCAGTGGTTGCCTCTATACATTCCTCTTCTGCATCATCCTCCATTTCATATTTCATAAGCAATGTTTCTGCAGGGATTTTACTTAGCCATTCTTGCACAACTTCTTCTGGAGATGTATTTGGTAGAGTAGATGGCATCAAATCACTCCCTTCCTCCTGCATGCCTGTGCCTTCTAACTCCTCATCCACTTTCCTGTTGCAAGAGTCATCAATCTCTTTATTCTTCTGATCTTTTACTTCGGTTGCAGCTGATTTAGACCCATAGGAAGTGGCTTTGGAGGAATCCAAAATTTCTTTCAGCTCTTTTCCCATGGCCAGCACCGATTCAGTACCTATGCTGCTAATGGAGGAATTCTTCAGCATGGTTGACTGTAATTTTTTGCTGTTTGGCTTCTGTTTTGGTGGGGCAGGGCAATGCATACTACAGACCGACAAAGTCTCAGATAATGATGCTCGACTGGAGTTTGACATCTTCACACGAAGATTTCTAGTTTTTACACGCCTTGATTTTGAAGACTGAGACATGTTTGATTGTGAACACCTATCATCACTTTCTTGGGATGTCTGTATCAACAAGCATTTATCTTTTACTTCTGACTTTGAAGAGACTCTTGAAGAGACACTTGTAGGATTTCCATTCCTCGTCCCAGTCTCAGTTAAGAGCTCACCTTTTGAACATACACTCTCACTCATACTTCCATGTCTCGAAGAAGGGGTCTCTGAATTCATCTTGGAATGACCCTCTCCAGCTTTTCCATTAAGGCTTGAAACACTTGAGCAGAGGGATGATGGCTTGCTATTTTCTTCTCTATGACTTCTCTTTTTTGAGCCTTTTGAGGATTCGCTGTAGCCACTGGTGGCACTTTTCAAGCTTTTTTCCTCAGTAACACCTGCAATTGCCTCCACTTCACTGGTAGATGAAATGTTTGAGTGGAAAGATCCTGAGTTATGACACGTGGGGTCTCCAATAGACCTTTTCTTGATTTCATATGAGCTTTTGGAGTAATTAGATGCCCTGCTGCATGATCTCAGATCATCTGCATGTAGGGAATTCTTTTTAACCCGAGTGGATTCAAGTGAAGACACAGACATTTCAGACTGTGCATCCAAATGAATATGGCTGTGTCTGCTCTTTTTGGATCCTGTGGAAGAGTAAGAGGCATTGCACAGAACAATTTCATCACTGTCACTTCTCCTGCTGTTTCTGTCACTAGCTCTGGAATGGAGGGTTCCTTGCGTAGAGCATCGTTCACCTTCACTGCTCTGATCTCTAATTGATTTGCTGGGCTTTGTTTTTGCTGACACTGAGCTGACTTCATTGATTTCACTTTCTTCTTGTTCTCCTTCAACCTCTTCACCCTCTTTCTTAGGGCAGGACTCACTGGAGAAGGAGGAGACCACTGCATTGTCGTCAGAATGGTCATCCTGTTCACTCTTTGCTCTCTGTCTAGTACCATTACTAGACTTGCTGTGCACACTGTAGGCAGGAGTGGAGTATGTACCATTATCTTCTTGATGTGCCTTCTGAAGGCTGGAGGAAGACATGCTCCTACCCACGCTACTTGTTTCCTCACATACATTCTTCTTGCTCTGTCTGGACTGCAGAGATGACCTTGACATGACACTCCCAACTCTGCTGCTTTCAACCTCTTCCACGTCATCCTTTAAGCACTTCACAGAGGAAACTTCAAAACAACTTTCTTCTTCATTTTGTGAATTGGTTTTGCTGGCCTCATGACCTTCAGGGGCATCTTGAGCATCCAGGTTGTTTTCACAGCTTGAATGGGACATTAAGCCCAAGGATGAAGGTCTCTGACTGTTGCTCGTGCTTGTCCGAGTGTTTTCTTGCTGGTCTTCTCCATTGGAAGCACCTGTAGACAAATCAGTTCGACACGTACACTTTTTGATGGATCGATATGCCACTCTGTTCTCTATAGTCTCTGAGTAGGATGAGGATTCTCGCACAATGCGCTCAGAGAATTCCTCACTGGATGTGGTGTGGAGGCTATCCATGGAAGCCATTTTTTTGTGGACTATTCTTCTTCTTGAAGATGTGCTGGAGCAGGACGACCGCGTGTGCCATGTGCTTCGTACACTGGGCTCTTCCCTCTGGGACGTGTGCATAGGATTTTTCCAAATGTCATAGTCCTGGTGTTTCTTGCCACAGTTATGACAATGAGCCTCATCGCATTCTGATTCCTCAAGTTTTGACATGTAAGAATCAATATCACAAGGATATAATGACTCATCTGCCTCTGAGCTGGCTTCTGGGTTCATTTTCTGTATGGGGTCTACTCCACTGTCCTCCTCTACGCCCGACTCTTCGCAAGGCATCTGGTTCATCAGGTTGGACTTTTTAATCTGGGTGGACCATTGCAAAGTCTCATCATTTAGCAAGCGGAAGCGAACTTTCATCTCTACAGACAGGCTACCATCCTTGTTGACATGTACCCGTTTTTCGATGTCATCGTTGACCAAGGAATGGACCAGGTCTCCGGGTTTTGGGTGCGAGCAAATGTGTGGGAAAGGTGCACCATTGTCTGGTGAGGCAGCGAGACCATTAGGATAGGACTTTTCTGATGATAAGGAAAATCTCATTGACCTATTGCTTGATGCAGACCGTGGGTGGATAACACTTTTTTTGGCTTTCAGTCCAAAGTTCACTGGAGTTTGAAACAGGTAAAGAAAAGAAAGATGGAGAGAAGTGTTAACTCATATCAAGATGACACAAAATATACAGATCAAACCCTCAAACTAGTGAATACTAATATTATTCCATTAAAGCTAAGCCTGTGCTGGTTTATACAATTTGAAAATTTGGCTTTGACTAAGTAATGGCCGTAAATGTTAAGTTTTGAATGAATAGTCTGTATTAAAATCTTCTATAGCTTAACTTTATTATTTTACTAAATCTAAATTGAAACACAAACAGTTTTTGTTGCATTATGTGTACGCTAGGAAGAAAAAAATACATACACAAAGCAATTTAGTCCTTAAATTTCTGTATTTTATCATATTGCAAATATCCCTTTATTTAGCTGTGCAAGTTTTCATCCTTCTTATTCAGTTGGGGAAAAAATACATGGAGAAGTGACCCTATTCCTTAGCTAGAGGTCAAGTGTCACATATTTATTGTGCATCATCCACTTCTCCATTCACATTCCAGGAAACACAAGTGGGGCCATGTAGACCAGAGCAGGACTCAGTCCCTGAAGGGATGTGCCACTATGGAAAATTATAAAGCTTATTAAAACATAAAGAACAAATGGAAAAGGAGTTGTAAGGTGGTGATGTTTACAAAGAGAAAGAGTGGCAGTTATGAGGAAAGTAAGGGACTTTTAAGAATTGTAATCCTAAGCACATCTCTATGGCCCAGTGCAGTGATCTGCATAGATTTTTGAGGTCCTAGACCCTTCATTTCAAGCAGAGCACATTGCTATGACTCTGTCTTGCAAGATATGCATCTATCTTGTTTCTAATACATATATTTGCTCAAAGCTTGCTTTTATGTATCTAGACAACCACATGCCTCCATGGGCATGTGGATATACAGCTGAATGGAGGGCATTTTAGGAAGGAAGTACTGAACAGGAAGCACACCAACCAAGATCAATAACACATGAGATAATTTCTATCTAACCACCCTTATGCATTTGAACTGACGTGTTTGCTCAGTTTCTTGATGGTCAAAGAGCATCGGCTTATTCCCATGGCTCCCTCCCATTTTTTGTGTCTCAGGCAGTGAGTGTAGCATGCCTCTGTCCTTAAGTTTCTACAACCAGTCGTCAACACATGAGTGAATCTTTCCTGGCTCCTGGTATTGACCATGTAGAGAAACAGGTGGACCTCCAGAGCACACCTCATTTCACCCTAAAACAAATCCCTAATATCGGTGAGATGAAATGGGAAATTTCTCTTCACAGGTTACTGAGGTTGGCTGGCTTAAATACCTGTGACCTTAGACAACTCATGATGAAGTGCCTAAGAAATATCATCCTGAATAACCCATTGCATACTCCTTCCTGAACATAATCTTTCCACAAAAACATGTTTTGTTCCCAAAGGGCTACACTGCAGCTGTAACCTGCAGGAGAAACTGAGTCTCCTGCCAACAAAAACAGGGCATCCTCTAGTCCTGGTGCAGGCAAATGCAGGAGTGCAGACATTATATGACAGACAGACAAGGAGATAGAGGATTCGTGGGAAATCTCAAGGGTTTGGGGAGTCTCAGAGGCAGACACAGGAAAGGAGGGAGTTCTGGAAGGAAAAGGAGACACAGAGATATGAAAGAGGAAGGGAAGTCAGCCAGACACGGGGAGCATGTAAAAGAAAGACTAGAGGGTGCAGGGAGGAAATCCTAGAAGGAAACCAGAGAAAAAGAAGGGGAGGATGGGAAGGCCTGGGAGGCAGAGAGAGGGAAGTACATTTTGTATATGAAATCTGCACACATTGGGTCAGCACAATAGGTGCCTGTCGTCTCCATGTTGTGGGACACAGGCCTGGAGGTGACTGTGCAATACGCCCCAGAGTTTTCCTTACTTTCATTGTTTTCATTGACATTGTTGCCGTTGGAATGGGGAGCCAGGTCAGGCAGCTTCTCCACCGAGTGCTTCCTCAAATTCTCCATCGATATGGGTTTAAATGGCTCCCGGCCGACGCACACCAGCACGCTGGGGCAGTGAAGCAGAGCTTGCATGCTGTCAATCTAGAAGGAGAAGAGCAATTGGGTCACCATGAGCTGATAGACCAGAACTAGATTCTTCCAGGACCAGAATCAACTGACATTTTGATGTCACCTAAAATAAAATCAACACGGTTCTGGAGGACTTCAGGGTCTACCAGAGCCTGTCGGGAGGTCCTGTTGCAGCGTAATTCCATTGCAAGAGGAGCTCTGCTGTGGTTTGATCAGATCTCACAAGATAGGGAAGGGGTGGGAGAGTTTGCCTAAGGGAGAAGATATCTTCTTTATTGGAAGGTTTTACATCTTCTGGGAAAGATTTAGGCACGATCAATGTGGTAGTGAGGAAGGGGGCAGAACAGTAGGCTTCTTGGTTTCCCTTATAGAGAATTATGCTCTTTAATTCTAATTTGTTCACGGAACAGCAATTATTACCTGATAAGTTCTGCATTCCAGATTGACTGTTAATTCTCTTCCTTCCCCTGCTCAGGAAAGGATGAGAACTGCAACTTCCCCTAATATTGCCTCAAATACTGTCTCAAATGTTACCTCAAGTATCACCTCAATGCTGGACAATGTGGGACATTGTCCCTCAGTGTGGGACATGTCTGTGAAGGACTCTCCGTTCCTCCATGAGAACCCAGGCTTACACACCACCTCTCCATCTTCACCTCACCACCCATTGCTGGATCAAGCCCTCATGTCAACTGCAGTTAGGAACAGGGAGCAGGGCTAGACGTGACAGAAAGTCACTTTTAACCAGCTACAATGTTTGCTTTGGATCTAAAGGAGCTGGAATCAGTCTTGTGATGAGCACTGGCTAGACAAAGCCTGGACTCCTCTTCCATCTTGCTTCTACAATCCCTTATTTGTAAGACTGAAGTTAATCTCCCAGTTAAACCACTTGATGGCTTCCAAAAGGATGAGAGGGCCCTCTTGATGTCTGAGAGGGCTTCAGAGTAGCCAACACCTGGCAGCTGGGTCTCCACAGTCCAGCTAGGATCTCCCTTCCTCCTCAGACTGCCACATCAGGAGAACATCTCTAGAGCATAGAATCATAGAATCAAGTGATCATCAAGTTCCAACCCCCTGCCATGGGCAGGGACACCTGCCACCAGACCAAGCTGCTGCATTGCATGCAGTGGGCTAGCAAGACAGACCAAGTTGCTGCATTGCATGCAGTGGGCTAGCAAGATGTTAGCACTATCTTGTCCATAAGATGCACCCTGACCTCGCCGTGTCACTTAATCATCAGCCCTTCAACTAGCAACAGAGTATGGAAGAGAACATGTGTCACTTAATCATCAACCCCTCAACTAGCAACAGAGTATGGAAGAGAACAAATCTCCGAGGAGCTGCGATGACAGTCCTGCAGTTGTCACACGTGCCTGGCATAACAGCACGTGAGGAAAGGACCTCATTCGCTAAATATTGCTATAGCAAAGGAAGGAAGAACCATGCCCCCTTCAGAGCCCAAGCCCTTACTTTGTGAAATGCCTCTGGGGTTTTCTGAGATTAGTTAGTGTCACTGGGGGTTCAAGAGGTGCTGGGTCCTGTGCAAATCAGAGGAGGGTGAATGTCTGGAGGGTGAAAGAATAAGAGACAGATGGCAGTACACTCAAGATCCAGTTACACACTTCTGGCAATTTTTCTTACAATGAAGCATATGATATCAACTTTTTTTTGTGGGAATACACTAAAATCTCATCGTCTTCCCACAATTTTTTATTTATTGTTTGCATTATAACACTACTTGTGACCTGAGGCCCATTGAGTTTGTTGCTATTAAAACCCACCGTCTGCTCTCTAAAGCTTACATTAAGCACCACTGTGTGTAAAACAAGAAAACTGCTGAGTCTGTTTGATGAGTACCATGAAACAGAAAATAACCCACAAGTTTCAGTCTATCTATGTCTACTGTTTGTCATTTATCAATAAATCCACTTCTGGCCCATATATTTGGAAAGAAAACATCTTTCCAGCTCGCTTAAAAGGTTTATAGAAAGCCTATAATTTAATAAAGAAAATATTTTGAGTAGGTTTTTGCCCCCTGTATATTTCTTTTCCTTCTTTACTTCCCTGTTATTTTTTATTCCTTTAGTGATATATTTTTTCTGTGTCCTCATCCAAGTAGCAAAAAGGTGAGAATAAAAAAGGAGAAAGAGAAAAGGAAAAAGAGGAAGAGAAGAAAGAAAAATAGACCTGAAATCCCTTTCGAACCTAATGTAAAACAATCTATCTCTAAAACCCCACGAAGTTTAGGAACTATTCCTATTTGCAAAGGACATTTTTTCAGTGAAAGCTATTTTTTACCCAGGACACCTCCTCACATGGTACTGTGCCTGTATATAGATACTTCAATCACACTCATCACTGCTGCGTTGTGTGGACAGAAAATAGATGATGTGAATGACACGACTGCAGGAATCAATGGAGCTGAGCCAGCTGAGTTATTGAATTTATATATATACTGCACAAACCAAATCCTTTCATATGGAATATACTTGTGCTATGTGACATAAAACAGAGGTTCTGTCATGTATTTCTAGCATCATCAAGTCTTTAGCAGCGTTTATACCTATAATATAGCTTTTCTTCATAATCTCTTGCAAGCTTAATCTCTTTGAACTAGTAATTGTAGAAAGTAATCTCAATTTGGGAGCTCAGTATTTTGTGATGCTTCATTGCTAAAAACATTTTGGTGCTTGCAAATACAACTGAATGTTCCCTAAGAGTTAAATAAATCATTTTTCTGACATTGAGTTGCTTTAATGCAACATCCATTGTGCCAGAACTGTACAGTTCTGTGGAGCTGGGATAACCCTTCCTCTCAGTTTGCCCAGCACAGAGCTTTCCCACACTGCTGCATGAATCCCATCCTCTCAACAACACGTTGCTGCCTGGGCTATCCAGAGGACATCTGTCTTCAGGGCAATCAACATGGTTGTTTGGTTTTTTTTTTTCCACTAGTGCTACATTATCTCTAAACAGTATGTCCCCTTTTAGGTGTTTAGCAACTTGCAGCTCACTCACCATGTCCCAGGATGAGGTCCATGTGTTGCTTCTTAGATTTGCTTCTTTTTGTGGACATCCTGATTTTGGCTGGGACAGAGTTAACTTTCTTCATAGTAGCTAGTGAGAGGCTGTGCTTTGGATTTGTGCTGAGAAGGGGCTTGACAACCCTTTCAGTGAAGAGATTTTATAAACAATTTCTATAAAGGAACATGTTGTCATCATCTCCCTTAGATAAGTTGTGAAGAACAAGTAACAGGCATCCTTCTGTCAATGTTGAAAACAAAGGGCAGGAGGATAATAACTAGAATTTGTTTCAGATTTTGGACATCTAAAAGTTAGATTTGTAGGACTGAGCTAGTCAACCAAGGCTGTACAGTCCATGTGGAAAGGGCAGTTTCTGTACATCTCTCCTACTGTGAGACAGATCATGCTCTGGAGAGGACTCTTTCTCCCCTGATATAAGAGCACCTTGGAACGATGAGGAGAGATGTAGACATCTGAATTATGGTAGATTAACTCCAGCCAACATGACCACTCTATAGTTATCGGGAAGCTGAATATTGAAGGTCAGTCTGCAGGGTCCCTGAGCTGTGCTCCTTTTTGAATGCTGTATTATTTCCATGAGTCACTGCTATTATTTGCTATTTTAGGAATACAGTTGTTATTAACTTCATCTGTATAATATCACAGGTGGCATAAACCCCATGTAAGTTAAATCAGTAATAGAGCATGTCTGGTCAAATATCATCGGTCTGGCCTGATGCATGGAGTCCATCACTGCAGTAAAAACTCAATTATTTTAAAGGGTCTTTTAAACTCCTTGTAGTCAGTGAAAATTCAGGACTTTAGAGGCCATTGTTGTCTGACTTTTATTGTATTGGATTATTTATCTATTTATTTATACAACAAATTCTATGTAAACATAAGAAAAAACCTTTTTCATTGTGAAGGTAGCCAAACACTAGAACAGGTTGCTCAGCGGTGTTTCCACCCTTGGAGATATTCAAAACCCAGCTGGATGCCTGAATAACCTGCTCTAGTTGACTCTCCTTTGATTAGGGGGTTGGGTGAGATGATCTCCAGAGGCCTCTTCCAACCTCAAGCAATAATGTGATTCTCTGATTTATTGTAGGAGAGAGGTGGTTGTTATTTTCATATAGACATCAGCTTGAGGAAGAGTGACATAAAATGGTGCTACTGGTTTTTCAGCACAGACTTTTTCTGACATTAATGTTTTCTTTGTTTGCTGAGAGACATCATTAACTTTTCTGAGCAGTAGCCTGTAAGGAAATCCTTCTGGTAAACAGATTCCCCACTTCCCTCTGGCTGCCATGGCAAGATTCTTGAGCACCTGTGCTGGGATACCATCTTGCAAGGAAACAGTATTACATCTCTGTCCAATTTAGCAACAAAAACCAAAGGGAAGTGATTGTGGATGCATAAAATCCAGTGACCACCTAATGGAGTTGTGATGGAGAAGGGAATGCCCTGCCCTATCATTTCTCCATTAACTCATCACACTTGATTGTAAGTCATCTATTACAATCTAGGCTTCTTGTACATTGGTGGGGGACAATCAGTATTTCTCGGGGACAGGTTATTTCACCCCAAGAAAGGCACTGGTACAGTTGGTAAGTCTCCCACTGGACATACCTGCCTCCTTCACTGCCGAGCGAGAAAGCCAATCATCTCAACACAGTTGTCTAAATATAGATACCTAGAGCAATCTGAGATGTTCTGGAGTATCTAATATGTGCATGAGGATGGTAGACAGGATAAAAGACTATGCCCCACCAGACCATCACCTGAAATCTGAGCAGGAAATATCTAGTATATTCTTTTAAAGACAGTTAGAAAATTAAGTGTCTTCATTTGCAAGCTGAATCTCAAAACTTATCTATGATAAGTGAACAGTCAAGAATAAAATGGAAGAAAATGAACAGCTTATGATAAAGATCTTTGATGGGTTAGGCAAGAGATCCTTTGGATCTCTCAGGCCCTGTTCAAGACCT